TGAAATACCACAACCACATACAGTGTCCAAAAACTTACTCTATTACATATGTGTTATCTGGTTCTCCAAGGCCAGAGCAATGAGGGTTTCTCTTAATGGAGGAAGTGATCTGCCTGTCACTGATATAATTATTTAGAGATGGAGATGAGCTTTTACAAGCATTGGGTGGTATTTAAATAACTCAAAGTCAGATCTACAATTAGGCCATGAAAGCCACAGAGGCAGGCCTTTCCTCTGTATCTCCCAGTCCTTAAGACAGTGGCCTAGTGCAGGGTGGGGACTCCCAGAATGAACAACACACTATTAGCCTTACTGACTGAGTTACTAAGAGATCACAGCCCAGAGATAAGACTCCAACATGTTGGCATCTGGGTTTTCACGCTCCCAAGACAGAGAGAGCTGTTAGATGTTTCTACCCTTCACGTGGAGTAAGATTTCCATGCTTATCAGGAATAGATTCTGGCTCTTACGGATATCAGGTGATGTACCTCAGTTGAGTGTGATGACCTACAAACACATCCTGGATCTGATACAGCGTGGGGTGAGGAAATGGGAGTTCTAGAACTTTCCTTCCCTTTAGCTCAAATAAACGGCTGTTTTCCAAGCACGATAGACCTGCCAACTTGATTTGCACCATACTAAGCGGCCCCCACAGAACACAGCTCAGGGCACTGCCAAGAGAGTCTTGGCTGCTGACCTGGGCTATTCCCAGCAGAAAGGGGAAGGCCTGCAGGCATTTCGACACCTCAGGGCACAAACAGAAGGAGGTGTTACTTTCGCCGAATGCCTCATAGGGCAGCTCAGACCACAGCATCGGAGGTTTCACCTTGTCACCGGTTTCTGGTGCTACACATTATGCTTTTTACCTGGTAGGAACTCGGCCTCCTAGACCAGAAAGCAAAGGAGAAACAGCCAGGACCGCCTGTTTCCCTCAACCTCACCTTCTGGCACCAGAGGCTCTTTATGTGTAGAGCAAGTCCATCTGGAGTAAGCAGACCCTTTGCTAACCTCACGTTCACCTCGAGTCTGAAAAGACCCTACCACCTCTGAAGTCTGCCAGTGTCCGTTTCAAAGTGCTCGTGCCTGCTGTAAAGCTCGTCTCCAACCTCAAAGGAGAAGGCAGTCAGAATAAAAGGAAAGGAAAGAAGAGGAAAGGAAAGGAGAGGAAAGAAGAGGAAAGGAAAGGAAAAGATAGGAAAGGGAAGAGAAGGGAAGGGAAGGGAGCACATGAAATACAATTAAAACCCACTAGCTGTTTCCAACGGAAAGTTTTAACATTGCTACACACAAATACAAATTTTCTTCTGACGAATCAAAAAGTCCAACCAACCAGAAAAGGCTATTTGGAGTAGAGATGGAGAAGTCTTTTTCTCCTCATACAAAGTATTGGCAAACTCTAAATTATACTCCTAAATCTCCACCTTTCTAATAAAACCAGAAGCACTCATCCATTTCCCCTCGTTCTCCAACCCCACCGGATTCGAGAATGCTCCCACTCTGCATGGTCAGTGGCTTATGATTGCACCAGCCAGCTCCTGAAGGGACAGCTCACCTGCCTGGTCCTGGGCAGCAGACCTCCAATCATCCTTCCCTGGTGGCTCTAGCATCTAACCCCCTGACTTCATTCCCACCCCGGAAGTCACAGGGGTGGGGGTGGGGAGGTGGGTACCAGGCCACCAAGATGCAAGTGATCAATTTACCCACTTTCTGATGGGATTTTCTTTTTTCAGTTAAATTCAGTACTATTCAACCACATGAAATCGGTTACCTTCACATACGTAGGTCATGCTCAAGCTCTTCAAAAGAGCAAAGAAGAAAAAAAAGTCCCCTTTAACACTAATGTTCTTTGGAGCGCCGTTCTCTTTCCTGCCGTCAGAGGACAGGGACATGTCATCCAAGCAGTCAAACAAGGAAATCTGGCTCCAGTTTCTCAAGCATCCCTGGTGACCCTAGCCTAGGAGAGTCCCCCTTTCGGGGTCAGGCAAGCCCAGGATGTGAATGAACACCCTCCAGGCTCTCCTGGTGACAGCAGACCTGTTTCCAGGAGATGATCCTGCCAGCCTGCCTGCCTGCCTGCCTGCCGGGGAAGACAGTACCAGCCAGAGAAACCCTGCCCAGAGGGATTAGGATACGGATTGTCCATTCAGGAGAGCTAGTCTACATAAAACCCCAGTCCAAGGGCTCCTGTTCTCAGCACACAGCCTAAGAGCAGGAAAGCCCCTTGCTGGGCTAGAGGAAGTCAGTGTGGCTCAGAGTAGATGGGAAACTTACAAGGGCATGTGGAGGGCTGGGATCAGAATGCCAGGCTATAGGGGCCTACAGAAACCCTGCATTTAGAAGCAAAGCGCTAGGAAACGGATTGCTTATTGGAAAGAGACGTTTCTTCTCTATGAAATTTAGCCCAGGCAGCCAAAAAGCCAGAAAACGGCAGCAAAAACAGGCTCAGAGCTGGTCACCAGTGATTACTCTTGTCATGAAACATCATAGGACCTCCAAGCCAAAGAGAATTTTCCAACCGGCCTGGCAACCAGGGCCCAGTGACATTGCAAAGTCATTGTAAAGAGAGGTCAAAGAGACACCATGCACCGTCCACGTTTCTCTATCTCCTCCCCCACCCCAACATGACTCCTGAGTCATAGCTGGATCTCAGGGCCAGACTACGTCATCCACAAGTAGGATCGGTCACAGTACGAATTACACCAGTGAGTGCAAGGACGCCAATCCAGAATTGCTGTCCTGGAGGAGGCAGCTCAGGGATGCTCAACGTAGTCACTTGGGAGAAAGACTCACATACTGCTCTTTCGTGCCACATTAACTCCGATGATGGGACGCTGCGAGTGGGTGATGCCGTGAGGGGGTGACCGGCAGGCCTAAAAGGGCTACTAAGATTCTTGTCATTGTTCACACTACATCCTACCTGGATAAACAGTGATGACCAGCCCTGACGCACAAAGAAAGCCAATGAAGAAAAGGGAGAATAGAAGGAAAGGGATTGGAATGGTGACCCAATACTACCCCACTGACACATTGCATACGTTTTTTTTTCTACCACAGAACACGTCCTTCACGAATACACTGAACAAACTGTATTGGGTATAGAAATAGGAAAGCATAAGTTGTATGTCTATTTATAGATTTAATTCCACGCAGTTTCTTAACAACGTCAAAAAAATATAAACCTAAGGTATTTTCACTATATCTTCTTCTGGGAAGTGGTAAACAAATGCATGCCTGAAGTTCACCTTGGTCTGTAACAGTGTTCAGTTGAAAGTTTCTAACTAAAGGGTGTGTCTGTTTTAAAAAATACTCATGTCTGTTCGCGATACAAAATTCTACGCTATCTTCAATAAATAAATAATAAAGTGTTTCTTAAAAGTATGAAATGTAAACTTTGTCGCCCTTTCTAACACACACATTTTAAAAATTGCTTGAAATATGACAGAGCTCTTATGGGAAATTATGACACTATGCATTCAGTTCCCAGCAAAGTGGAGACTCGGCCACTATGTTAATGCTACCACTTACAAAGCACTTCTACAACCCTAGTTAAATTAGGACCTACAATCGAAGAGAACACTGTCTAACACAGGAAAGCTGGACTCCAGTACCAAGAGAACATGCAAAGAACATGTCATGACCACAACAAACTGGGATTAGGAGAACATTAACATGCGAACAAAATACGGCCCACACTTATCATTAGCAAATCGAGTTATTATCTAGTTAACCAGCCTATCTCCTGGCTATTAAGGGGGGGAAAAAAATCAAAGAACTCAAATCAAACAGCTTGGCACATGGTCATACGTTCCTGACTCTGGCAACAAGCACATGGGTTTCCATTACTGAGAGGTTGGTTGCGTATGGAAGAATATGGGAACGAGTCTTGGGTCTTCCTCCCCAGATTTGTGAGGCGTGTATGCTCCTAGGGCCTTCCCCCCAGCATGTAATGGAGTTCCTTTACATCTTTCCATCCCACTTCCGGATCGTGACTTTTCCTTTTCACGTCTTGGGGACGTTTCTTTCTTGGGAACACACCAAAGACAGCTGCTAGAATTTCCCATGACAATCAGGATCCGGCACATTCAAGCAAAAGCAGGCTCAGAGCTGGTCACCAGAGATTACTCTTGTCATGAAACATCATAGGACCTCCAAACCAAAGAGAATTTTCCAACTGGGCTGGCAACCAGGGCCCAATGACATTGTAAAGTAGCCTTTCAGGTGACCTGTGGTGATCTAATCCAACAAAGTATAACTTTGTAGATAACAAGCTTCCTTAACCATCTTCCAAGCATGCTGGAAATCAAAACTGGGTCACCTGAAGGTAGCTAGTGATAGTTTTCATTGACATCTATCAATAAAAGACCTGGAGGGCACTGGAAGGGCTCTAACAACGCACCTGCTAGAATCTTCCATGGACCAGCTCTTCAAAGAGCTAGCCCACTGTCTGATTTGGAGACCACCTCCCCGACTGATCATATCCAGGGCAGCATTTCAAATAAGGTCCCGGTGGGGGAATAAGATTCTGAAGCAATGGCAAGACCTTCATAGTTACTTCTAAAACACACGAAGGACTAGGCATCATGGCCCCAGGGGCCTATCTGGGGACTGGTGGAAGGTTACATGAGTTCTCCAAAAATACAGACATTGCATTTATAAATCTATTTTACAGTGACCAGACCCAAGCCTCGAGCCCAGGGATGGGCCAGACTCCCAACCAAATCTAGCTGGGGGCTATGGGATTTCAAAGACCCTTGAAGCCATGATGAGGCCTGCAGTGAGGATGAAGGAAGACAGTTCTGCTTCATAAAATGGGAACTTGTTTGGGGGCGGGGGAAGGATTGTCAAGAATTATTCCTAAAAGTTTTGAGGGGCCTGTCTTCACTGTCCCGTTGCCCTGTGGCTGAACATCCAACGGTGGTCTTAGAAAAGCAACCTCATGTCCAGATCCCACCTGCTGTCTTGGGCTGTAGGAAGTCTACCAGCACACCAGGGCCTGCTCCCTATGGCTCATCAAACAGCTGCAGGTCTAAGCGGACCACAATCTCCCCTGTGGGGACTTCATGTAGCAGGAGACACTTTGTAACTGGGCCTTTGGAACCCTGGTCCTTCTTGATGTCGGCCACACGGATCTCTGTCCGACCCAAAAAATCTGAAAGGAGAAAGAACACCCTGCTCAGAGAGAGAATTCCTTAACTTCATGGCATGTATTTGGCACACT